AGTAGACGTCGAAATGTAGCGGAAGCATGAGAAACTAGAATCGAAGAAGCTTACAATCTAAGCTTTAATGGTGAGTGACGCCATGTTAAACATGGTGTAGAAACATGAAGAACTAAGAAGAAAGAAGAAGAAGAAAAAGAAGAAGGAGATACTCAAAGAGGAAGAAAGCACTTTTATCATATATTTTCTTAATAGTCAATTACACACTCAATTCAGACTTCTATAGTCTTATCTTCTTACAACAAGCTCAACTGTATCCTAATCTTTACAGTTAGGACTAACAAATTCTTGTAATCCAACCACTCTAATATTGACAAATGTCACAATCTAAAGGGTTCTGTTATATACTCTAACTACCCTATAAACATGGGGACTATTAATCTAATTAAACCAATATTATATAGTTGCAAGGCCATGTAATTCAAATGGTTAAGAACATTCACTTTTGCACTTAGTATTCTATGATGTATTTATTCTTCCCCACAACATTTGGGTAAAAAGAAAAATAGTACTCTTAATGCCTATTGTTACTCCGACAAACATACAAAATCTATTTAGTTATTACGTGCACCATTATAGTCTACAGGAGAGAATTTCAATAACGTTATATACTTATTTTGTTTCATTGGGGGCAGTGAATTGGCCACCCGCAATTAATGTGAACCAGTAGAGCTCGCAAAGAGAATTTTCGTACATTGCATACTTATTTTGCTCCATTAGGCCGACCGACTAAGCACTCACACTAACACCCTGATGTGCACCAAGAGAGTCCGCATGAGAGAATTTCAGTACATTGTATACTTGTTTTGCTTCACTTGGGCATGCCCACAGAAGAGAAGACTAATCATTATTTTGGGTTGAGCTTAAAACATTTTCAGCCTGGGCTTCCTCAAGATCGATATAATGAAAGAAAAGCAATAGTCCACTCTGTGTTTGTTGCACCGGACTATCTCGAATTGGATTAACTTCATCGACTAAGCTGTATTGGTTTGGCATGGTCTAACTAGTATAAGAATAATAAAGAGTTTGATGCGGTGTTGGACGAAGTTATGGACTAAATTATTTTTTAAATCTAAATATTATTTTGTCATTTCATCATTATCTCTTCCCCTACCTTTCCTTTTCTTTTTTTTTTTCTTTCTTTTCCCTTTTATTTTCATTTTCTTTTGCCCTCATTTTCCCGAATATTCCTCCTTTCCAGAGGCTTCTGGGTATTTCTGTTCTTTACTTTTCATTTTCTCTTCCCCTTCGAATTTGGGAACCAGGCACAACCCGATGTGAGAAAACGTCGCCGCTGGAAGAGGTCCCTGATTACCAAAAATAATCCTAATATTCGGGATCATACTCGTCTAGATTTTCAAAATCAAAGCCTGGGGAGGATTCCCACTGTTCCTTTGCCATAAAGACTTTGCGCCAGCACTCAGCGCATTTATCCACTCAAATGAACAGTAATAGACCCCAATAAACAGTAATAGACCAAAGCATCTCCATCCCTAAAAAAAAATAGGCTGGTCAATTTATTAAAATATTATTATTTTTATTATAAAATAATAATTTAATTTTTACTTTTTGACTTCTTCTTCCCTTCCATCTCCTGCAACTTCCCATCTCTTCCACACACAAAAAACCCGACTTAGGTGTGGTTGAATCCCAACCCCAAAACTCACTGCTCCAACCCCAAAACTCCCCAAAACTCACTGCAACTTCCCATCCCTTCGCCAGAAACTCACTGCAACCCAATTTAATTTTTTAATTTCTGACTTCTTCTCTCTGACTCCCTTCTTCTTCTTCTCTCTGACTCCCGTCTTCTTCTTCTTCTTCCTACTTTTTTTTGTTCCAATCTAGGATTTGTTCAGATGTGAAAATTAGAACGTGGGTTGTGATTAATCAGTGAAATTAACATCTGGGTTTTGCTAAAGCTTCGAAATTTCAATCTAAACCTTGATTAATTAAATAAATAATTGGGAGAAAATGGATTTAGGGAAGAGGGGGCAATACATACAGAGTCGTGGTGCGGAGTTGAAGGATTTGTGGTGAGGATAACGAGAGCGTGGCAATGAAGAGGAGAGAGAACATAGCCGAGACAAAGATCCGGTACGAGAAGAAGCTCCGGAGGCTGAACCCGCCAAAACCCGACCCTCCTCCTCGGCTGCCTCGCATGGGCTCCTCCTCGGTAGCCATGACGTTAGCATGGCGTCAGATGAGCCGTCTCCTACCTCTGTCGATTTTAGGCCGGTATCTTGCCTGGCTTGGGCTGGGTACCAGTCAAAATGCGCCGCTGAAGTGGATAGCCTGGGTGCCGGGCTGGTTTTTTTGCTGGATGCTGGCCTATCAGTTCCCCGATGGAACTGCTCTAAAGAATGTCCTCGTCTTCCTGCTTTGAACCCGTGGCAGAGAGCAAACAACGCAGTCGCTGGATCTGATTTTGCTCACTTAGGGAGACACTGTTGCAGTGGAGCAGGACGAGGAGAGAGTGAGAGTGGTTTTGGTGGTGTGATTTTGTTGGATAGCAGAGAGCAAAGGAAGTGGAGGGAGGGCATAGTAGTCCCACGGTTATTAAGGGTCTCGCTAAGACCTCCTAGCGAAGAAGTTTGTTGGTGCTGAGTCCCCAGTCTCATTACTCTTAATCCAAGCACCGTACAAACACAGAACTAGGCTGATAAATTATCATGTCCAGTCCAGTGATTGTTAGCTTGTTTGGTAGTTCGGATTGTACTGATGATTTCAGTAGGATAGAATAATTAATCATAGGATAATACTGACTAAATTCCAGCGTTTGAGAACTTCGAACTTTTATTTTGTTAAGAGAAAATTGGTGATCCGCTGGCTTCCTCGTATCCCATTGTGGTCTCTAATCCATTGAGACCTTAATCCACATCAGAAATACCGTCTTTGAAATCCCAGCAGCCATTACACCTCACCCACATGAAATCTTTCCCAATTTTGAATTTAATTCCCTCACATCAACAAAATCAATTAGCAATTAAGCCACAAGCCGAAATATTCGAACCACCACCATAGATGTCAGAACAGAAACGAAGGTCGCCATGCTCAGGAACAGAGGTCACGATGCCCTGGGTTCGATCTGCTACCTTCGGTACTCTGTTCGCATCTACTTGATGTGGATCGTTCAATATGATATCTATCTTAATCTTTTTTTGCATCTGCTTGGTGTTGATCAGAGGTCGCGATGCCCAAGAGCAGATGGCAGGATAGGTTGGAGAAAAATGGGCGTGATTTTTCTTTGGCCTTGTCCGACTAATAGTACCAAGGTTTTGGAGTGGATAATTAAGCGAGTGGGAGGGGTATTAAAATGGTGGGGCTGGATTAAGGGGTATTAAAATGGTGCGGCTGGATTAAATGATTTGGTGCTTATTTAATACAAAATTTACCAAACATCAGTTTTGTATTCTTAGTATATCCGATGGTCTTATATGACGTGCCAAACGAAACCTTAGTGGTATTTAGTCTCATTACAAGCGTCATATTACATTATAATTGTATTATACTTGGACGTGATTGTATATTTTTCTATTAAAATTTCCAATTAGTAGTATTAGGTTTAAATGTTGTGAGAAGTCTTGTCCAATATTTATATAATATTGACGCAATCTTTATTTCAGTTTGATATATCACTAATCTCGAGAGAATTTGAACAAAAACAGAGAAATCTAGAAATAATCGAATATAATTTGTTGGTGGTTTTATTCTATATTGCTGTTTGTATGGATTCCAAGAGAAATTCCATCAGAACTTGCAAATATATTTGCTCTTGATTGAAGTTGTGAAGAACAGAAGCATATAAGTTCAAGTATTTATGTCTCTTTAACCCGAACAATTCAAGTTTTACGTACCCGTAATCGGAATCAATTTACGGAATTGGATTCTGATTACGGGATACACCTTTGTTTACGTAATCTTGGGGAATCAAAATACATGGGGGGTCCACACGAATTAAGGAATCCAACTCCTAATTTTGGAGGAATTGGACTCCCTACATGAGGGAGGTATTTCAATTCCTTGACACTTGAGGAATCCGGAATGGATTTCTTTTACCAATTATGCCCTCACTTGTTTCTTATTATCCCAACATTGCCCTTCATTTGACACTCATTATGCCATCTTTTAATAAATAAATAAAACCTATTTATATATTTTTATATAGATGAATTTAATTAAGAATTTAATTTAATTTATTAGTATGAAAATAATTTATTTATGTAAGGGCAATTTAGTAATCAACCTAGTTTTCATTTCGATTAAAGTGAATTATTAAACAATTTATATTGACTCAACATCATTTCTACCATCTTTTAATAAATAAATAAAACCTATTTATATATTTTTATATAGATGAATTTTATTATATAAATTTAATTAAGAATTTAATTTAATTAATTAGTATGAAAATAATTTATTTATGTAAGGGCAATTTAGTAATCAACCTAATTTTCATTCCGATTGAAGTGAATTAGTAAACAACTTATATGAATTCAACATCATTCCTACTCCGATTCCAAACAGTTTTAGTAAACAATTTTAACAGGAATCTGATTCTGATTCCACCTCATTTCAATTCCTCTTCAATCCAATTCCTCCTCAATTCAATTCCTCTCAATTTGATTACGGATTAGTAAACGCGACATTATAGAGTTGCAACGGCCTTGTAATTCAAATGGTTAAGAACATTTAATTTTGCACTTAGTGTTTTATAATGTATTTATTCTTTCCTGCAACACTTAAGTAAAAAGAAAAATAGTACTCTCGATGCCTATGGTCACTTCGACAAACATAAAAAAATTATTTATTTATTACGTGCACCATTAGAGTCCGCATGATAGAATTTCCGTACATTGTATACTTGTTTAGCTTCACTTGGGCCTTATCATAGAAGGCTATTCATTCTTTTGGGCTGAGCTTAAGACATTTCAAACCTGGGCTTTCCTCCAAGCCTAATATAATGAAATAAAAGCCACAGCCCACTATAAGCTTACCAGGGGCAAAATATATAATTTCGCTACAATTACGGGCACTTCTCAAATTCCTCTTTTTCAAAACGACAACCACCATAGAACAAAAATTTGGAAGCTCGGTCTTCTTCGCGCTGCAATCATGTCCAACGTCGCAGCCCGTATGGCCGTGGCGCAGAACTGCACCTTCCCTTCGGTCTTCTGCGAACCGGGGAGACGGTTATCAACGAAAGCGGAGAACCCAACTCAAGACCCCGCCGTCCGATCAGATGCACGACGCCTCACCGATCGATCCATTTCTTCGAACCCCAACCGCAGGTAAACTGACCTGCCGACGGCCGACTGCCACGGACATTTCTCATTTCTCATTTCTTTGGTGAATCTGGTAATGTGTATATATGATATTTTAGGGTTTGGTGTATGGGAAGCTGCTCGGAAACTCGAGGAATACGCTGAAGAACGATGTTGTGAATATGCTGGAAGGCTGTAATTTGAGGCTGGAGGATGTTAAAGTTGATTACAATCAAGCCTTTACGTCGATGGGGATGTAAATTGCGTATTCTCTATTTTGTTTATTTTCCAGTAAATTGATAATTTGTTATGCAATGCAATAGATAAATTTGTGTAGATGCTACAAAATTGTTTGGTTGATGATTTGGGTATGCATTTCGGTTGTTAGGGTAGTGCAGTTCCAGTCATGGAAAGCTTTTGATAATGCAGCTAGGGTATGCTGATTCTGGGTTTGTGAATGACAGGCTAACCGATCGCAGTGGGACAATCTTACTTCCTATGATGGAAAAACTGTAAGTCAAGGTTTTCTATTGCATGCTAATTATTGTTTTTAATGAAATGTTTGATCAAGTTGGTCGTGTTCGGAGTTGGTCTTCATGCAACAAAATTGCTTGCTTTGTGGAATGGACTTAGTAGTAAGACAGGATTGATGCCTTCAAACACTGATAACATATTCATCCTCAGAGTGCCATATATTCGGCTTTCAAGGCTGAACCTAATGAATTCAAATTCTTTTGTTTAAGTAGGGTTTTTTGATCTGGATACAGTTGCTTCTTCGTGAAAACAGAATCGCTGGAACTATTATGTGGCAACCTAGTGAATTTTTGCTTTAGTATGTTTGCATGAGCCTTCGCAAGAAAGTCAGTAACTGAGGCTGGCGTATGTATTGAGTCTATTGATCGAAGAGAAACAGGCTCCATATATGCAGATCGATTCTTTGTATTTTGGAGTTATTATTTCCCCTACGTCAAGTATATGCCATCAATACTTGAATGTAATCTAATTTGCTATCACATGAAATGGACTTGATTTCTATTATCAGGTTTTACTCAAGGAATCCCTCAAACTGCAGCTCCAGAAGATGTAGAACGATTTTTGTCTGGTTGTGAATACAACTCGTCTTCCCTCCAGATAGTTTTCAGGTATGCTGAATGGATTGTGAATGACCACACATATATGTATATATATCATTTGTAAAATACTTGTAAAATACTTTTACTGTACTAGATTTTTATTTTATTCATTCGAAACTATGTTGCAGGTCTTTCCCAGAATCCTCTAAATTTGCGACAGTTCGCTGTACTTCTCAAACTGTGGTAATATATGCATTACTTGCTAAGAAAAAAGGCCCCTGCCAGAATGGTCAGATTTTGATGCGCGCTCTCCAGTAATCCTGGTTTGAGATAAGATTATGTATTTTTTGAGACCGTGTTTTGTTTACTGGATTCAATTCAACAATTGAAATGTTCATTCCTTTTGTAGCAATGGGTATCCCATTCTTGCTTTTAATCCTTGCTATTGCCAATAATCTCTTTTAATCTTTGTTTTATAATTACAAGTGTACCGAACTCTTAACTTCTGAACGTTACAATGGGTAGAAGAATATTTGCGATCAGATCCTACGTTACCAATAAATCTTTGAAATGATATGCTACTTTAAGATTTTGACTCAAACATCTAATAGGGAAACCTTTTAACTTATGGGGAGAAAATTTTCAACTGTTACCATTTCATTCATGTTTTAACTTATGCATTCGTCATTAACACTTTCGGTTCATGAATATTAAAATCATTTTTTCGTCCAACTATATTATAGCATGCGGATTAGTAACCGCATGACTAATTGAGGGTCAAATTGATACCAGTAACAATAGAGATTTTTGTGTTACCTGTGAGACATTCAAATGACATGGTGGGAGAATTGCATCAGTGAACTCGGAATAAAGATAACAGAGTCATAGACTTCATTGAAAATTAACCATAAACAAATGAAACATTCTTTCCTTATTATACCATATGAAATGCTGAGTTCAACCTTACATGATGTCACACAAATTTGATACATATAATATCCTTATTCAAATGATTTCTTGCACACAAACACGAGACGACGTTAATTATACAACAAACTTAACCTCACATTTATCAATCATGTTATCCTGGACCCCGTGGTTGAAAACAATTGTGGTCACCCACCATTTGATCTTAAGTCCTCCACTGTTGGATTAAAATCGAAAGGGGGATAATCACAATTTTCTTGCACAACAGTGTCTACGGGAACGAGACTCACATTTATATTTCTAGCCTCTACCTCTTAAATTGAGATATGATTCTCTAATTTTCTTCAATTTGTTGACAGCAACATCCATAAGCATCCGCTCCAACGGTGATATTGCAGAGCATGAAAGTCCAATTTGAATCACTGCAATTGAGCATTCCTTCAACCTTCTTGCTTCAAGTCGGCTGCTATCTACATCTCCACATTCAATGAGCAATGAAGGGTCAACTATGTCCATGGCATGGTCAGGCATTGCCATGGTAGCAAACTGGCGAATGCTTAGACCATCGTTGAACATGTCATCTGTAGGTTTTCTTCCTGTGAATATTTCTAGCAACAATATTCCAAAGCTATAAATATCTCCAAAGATGGAAACTTGACCTCCCATGCCATACTCTGCTATTCAATACTTACATTAGGACTTAATTTGGCCCAGTGATAATTTATTAGGAAGAGAAAACACTGGAAGTGATAGAAACTCATACCTGAAGGAATGTAGCCTATCGAACCCTTTAAGCCGGTTGACATGGTTTGACTTTGAGAGGGATCATCAGACGACTCCAAGAGGAACCTTGCTAAACCAAAGTCACCAACGTGAGCCACCATATCTTCGTCAAGAAGAACATTACTTGGCTTTATATCACAATGAACAATTGAAGTTCCGCAATGGTGGTGGATATAATCCAATGCAGAAGCAACGTCAATTGCAATATTGAGTCTTTGGATAAGGCTCAATCTCTTGCTTTGAGATTGCTCATCATCTCTAGGATGCAGCCAAACATCTAGACTTCCATTCACCATGTACTGAAAAACTAGACTTTTGAAATCTTGACCCTGATTGTCAATGCTTGAGCATGCAGTTATGATCTTGAGAAGATTACGGTGCCTTATGCTTCTCAAAGCTTTGCATTCATCCATAAAACTCTTGGATGCTCCTTGTTGTTGAAGATTTAATACCTTCACTGCAACTAGAGTTCCGTCACTAGGGACTACTCCTTTGTAAACAGAACCAAAACTTCCTGAACCAATAAGATTTTCCCTAGAGAACCCGTTAGTTGATTCAACAAGTTCTGAGTAAGAAACACCTGATTTCCAATCCTTATAAGAACGTGAAGCTGCAGGTATACCTCTTCGCTTTTTAAGCATTGAGCAGGCAACAATGAAGCAAGACATAGCAATTATGAAGGCAAGTGCACAAGCTATAGGGATGACTACATTTCGGGCAAGTAGTCCTCGAGATGAATGAGGCTTTATGTTGGGGCATGCAGGTAAATGTAATTTCGAGCTACCACCACAGAGCTTAGGATTTCCAAGCATTGATAGACCAGTTGCATTTGAAAAGATTCCTTCTTCAGGCATTTTACCCTCAAAATTGTTATATGAAAGGTTGAGATGCCTAAGAAATCTAAACATGCTTAGAAATTCAGGAATCTGCCCGGATAAGTTATTGCGCGAAAGATCCATATCTTCCAGGCTTCTTAAACTTTTAAGAGATTGAGGAATTATTCCTTGAAACTCATTACCTTCCAAATTACAAGTGCACCAACATAATACAACTGCCGAGGTTTGTGGGAATTTCAGCTGATAAATTGTTTCCTGATAAATCTAGCTCTACTAGATTTACCAAAAGGCCAACTTCAGATGGCACTGGACCTATCAACTGGTTGCCAGACATACTCAAAGAAATTGAAAGGGATGAAAGCCCAAAAATCTCTTTAGGTATGGTGCCTGTTAGATTGTTACCAGAAAGGTCAAGCTCTAGTAGATGTTGGCAGTCTCCTAGACTTGGTGGTATATTTCCTGCAAATCTATCATCGGCTAGATGGAGTCCTATCAATGAAGTCATGTTACCTAGGGACGACGGGATTGGCCCAGAAAGATTATTGCCGCCCAAAATATAATTTTTTCAACTTCTGAAGCCTCCCAATTTCTTCAGGAAGACTACCACTTAAATAGTTAGCCTCCATTTCCATAAACTGACCAAATTTACAAGATTTCCAATACCCAAAGTGATGCTTCCATGTATCAAATTTCCCCCCAGAAAAAGATTTTCCTAGTGTGGTAGAAAGGTTGGAAATGGACACAGGCAATTCTCCTCCAAATTGATTGTCGGTACAAGATCAACAACTCAAGACTAGTACAGTTAGCCAAGAATTTGAGAAAATTAAGATCGCCAGCTTTCCCACTTCCCAGTCTATTGCTATAAAGGTTTAGCCAAAGCTAAGCTTTGTAAGGATCCAAGAGCAGGGAGTGTTCCAGTAAGATCATTTTTAGCACACGTCAAAAAGTTGCAATCTAGAAGCATTTGACAATGATGGAGGAATATTTCCTGTGAATTTGTTTTTGCCACCGACAAATTTTTTGAGATTAGGAAGAGTAATGCCAACATTTGGCGGTAGCTCTCCATGCAGTTGGTTTTGACCAACTATTAACAAGTATATGGAAGAAATATTATAGATTGAAGCAGGGATTGTACCAGAGAGATTGTTTCCTATAAATGAGAGTTTTTGCATTCTTGTTAGCCGCCCGAGCTCATTGGGTATGCTTCCTTGAAAATTGTTATAGCCAAGATCAAAATGATGCAGAGAAGAAAAGTTTCCAATCCAAACAGGGACGGTTCCAGTGAGATTGTTATTAGAAAGCCGCATATGATTTAATTTCAACAAGGAACTGAGTTGGTTTGGAATTGACCCAATAACCTCATTGTAACGAAACTCAATCGTCTTTAGTTGTGTACACTGGGATAAATTTCTTGGAATTTTCCCGCTGAAGGAATTGTAAGACAAGGTTGAGAAAGTGCAAGCTTTGCAGACGACCAATTTCTTCAGGAATTTCACCATGAAAGCTGTTGCTTCCTAGGTTGATTCTAGCAAGATAGGAAAGGTTTCCTATAGAAGGAGGTAAAGAGCCTGTCAATTTCTGATCTTGCAGGTTCAACATGAAGACTCTTCTGGTGTAATGGTTGCACGTAACGCCTACCCAACCGCAGAAATGGACGGATTCATTCCATGAGCTCATGACATGGAGAGGATCTTGAGTGATGCTTTTCTTGAACTTGAGTAGCACCATGCGATCAGTTTCATTTCCAAGACTAGTGCTGGAGAGTGCCGCAGATCCCAGATGCGTGCTCATGCATAAAAGAATGAAGCCATGAAAGAGTTTAACCAAACTCAGCCTGCCTCCAGTAGTACGTGCATGCTCCATCCTCACCAATATAGATTCCAAATAAGAAGCTCTGTTTTTCCTCTCTTTTGGCTGTGAAATTAGAAATCAAGTTCCGTTTACACGAATGCATATGAAACACAAATACACGATATATCTTACACATAGAACATAATCTTGATTGAATTATAACCAGTGATTGTGGGGAGACCGAAAATAGTCCACGGCTCCCACAGTGTCTAGCAAGGAATTGGAAGAGCAAATTAGTCTGCAGCTCCCAGGTCTTTGTCCTCACAGTCCAATTGGGCATAATTACAGGCCCTATCTCTCTGGAATCAACGAGTGATTGATTGCTTGATGAAGACTTAACTAAGATTTACTTGTTCATTGAGCCTCAGTTTTGTCCTTGTTCAAATGACCGAAAAGAAAAGTACAGGGAAAAGTAGAACTTGAAGCATTTTGAGATAGCTAGCTAGTAAATGTGATAGCGAGCTCCCATCTAGCGAAGACTTGGAAGACCACATTCTGGTCCTTTTGGTGGGAAGAACTTACAAGTTCCAAATACACCTTTTAGTATGCTACTGTTGTGAAGCAACGGTTGCGTTTGTTATCAACAATATGGTGTTACATGTAAGAATCTTTTCACATTGCATCGTATATTAGTTAGGGATGTTGGAAGATCATAAGTTTTTCCTTTTAGGATGGTTTTTGTTAGAAACACTTCTGCTCGTAAAGACTTAACTAAAAGTGCTTTCATTAGAAACAAGTTGAAACACAAAAGGAAGAAATACGAAACCAAGTTTGATTTACACGAACACGAATGCATAAGAAACAAGATTTTAATGACTAGTGTATAGCAAGTTGTTGGAAGACCAAAATAGTCCATAAAAGAAAGAAAAGAAAAAACCCTCCTTTGTGGTAGTGTTGGAAAATTTTGAGTGGGATGGACAAAAAAGTCGAACAACTATGAAACTTTTTTTGAGTGCGAGAATATTTATAGTGGAGAAACGAAAAAATTCAACAAACTCAGCTTTACCAGAGTTGTTCGTCCATGCTCCATCCTTACACA